TATTTTAGGAAAGAGTCTACAGTGTGTTCAGGGTCTCACTACTAGATTGCACTTGTAGTGATCTGCCTGTTTACAGCCTCCCAAGAGCTGGGATTACAGGAACGTGCCACCATGGCAGGCGCAGGATCAATCCCCAGGCCCCTGCACATCTTGCAGGTGCTTTAATCCACTAAGCTATTTGGCCGGCCCTTTCACAAATATATCTTTAAGAAATGCAAACTCCTGCTCAGACAGATGCAGGGACTGGGGTTCAATCCCGGTGTGCCATGCTGGCCCTGCCCCTGGGGTGCGCTGAGATGTCAAATGAGACTGTGTGTCATGACGCGCACTTATAATCCCAGTGATTGGGAGGCTGAAAACAGGAGGATCACTACAAGCCTGATCTGTGTGACGAGACCCTGTAGACCCTGTCCTAAATACATTAAAGAAAAAAAAAATGCAAACTCACATGCAGAAAATATGTAATTAACAGTGGTAATCTGCAGTAAAGATTCTCATTTAGCATAGATTCTCTGTACGGTCTGCAATCTCACACTGAGCATCAGTAGTACATGGCGCACGCCTACTACACATGGTTCTCAACATGAGGCTAATGAAATCTACTGGATGTTTTCCCACCACTGTATTCTACTTCTCAAAAACAGAGGCATACATGGGATCATGATTCCATTTGGAAAAATCATGTAGATTCTGAACGTTGGAATGACAGCTTCGTCAAGATCATTGCTGAAATGGGCACAACTTCCATTATTCCTGAATGTTCCCAGGGCAGAAAGGTAAGAAGGAGCACATTAAAAAGCAGAGTAACAAAGTGGATTTTCCTCAAGAAAAATAAAAACCGCAGAAACTACAGCACAGGTGCACAAAATAAACAGACCACGTAAGGGCTCCTCCTGCTGCTACCGACACCGCAGGCAGCCAGCAGTTCTGGTGTCCGCAGAACCAGAACGGACCACCACGGAACTAGCGGCAGCCACAGAAAAAAGCCTGTCAGCAGGGCGTATCAGGAGCAACATGAGGTGGTGAAGTCCTGTTCCCTTAAGATGGGATGGTGGCAGGGACTCTGTGGACAGCACCGTGCCTGCTTAAGGCACATGCTCTATGGCTCTCCTGCCTTGCATGAGGCTTCCTCTTTACAGAGCCATGCATCTGCCTCCGTCCAAGCTCACACACCTGCAGCAGCTCCTCAGGGACTCAGATCTCCACGGAGGGCCACTCAACGGATAAGGTCACAGGGCAGCTCAGAGAACAGGCGTGGGAATCAATAGTCCTCTGTGGGAATCTTTATTTTATATTCCTCTGAGGTCTTCAGAAGGTAAAGGCCTTTATTTATAAATGAGGAATAATGAAATATATCTCTCTAGTTTAAAACAAAACAAGCAAAGAAAAAAAAAACAAAAACAAGATTTAATGTAACCAAGGAACCTCATCTAAGAGATTTTCATTTTTGTTATGGACTGAACTATGCTCCCCTAATTCATAGGTAAAAACATGAATTGGGGAAACCCCAATGCAACTGTATTTGGAAATGAAGGTTAAACACTGTTCACAGGGCAGGCCCTGGAGCAATAGGACCGATGTCCTGACAAGAGGAAGAAGGGAAGTCAGAGATGTGACAGCAGACTGTGTGAGGACACTGTCAGATGACAGCCACCCACATGGTAAGGAGCGAGGCATCAGGAGGTGGTGCCCCCCAGCAACGTGACCTTGGACTTGCACCCTCCAGACTGGTGAGAAAATGAATGGCTGCTGCTGAAGCTGCCCGGCATGCACCGTTCCCTTAGGGAAGCCTGGGCTCACCAACGTGACGCTCACGCCTCAAGTGGGTGAGGGAAGGACGAGAACAGGGATCTTAAGACAGTTTTCCACCCACAAAGCTTTCTTCCCGACCCTGGTGCTGCTTGCTGTATGCTTCTCTTTCTTTGGCTTATATTTTGTAACTCTGTGGTCATCTGTGTTTTTTCTCTTCTCTTCAGAAGAACAATTTAAACTATGGGTACCGTAGTTATCCCCAAAACTTCTCAAAGCATCAACGAAATGAAACCTGACAGCTCAAACACTTCTTATATTTACCTATCGTGAATTCATTTGATGGCACGGAAATCTCAGATTATAACTAACACTGCTTGCAGAGATGGTCACTTTACTGCCTTGATATTTAAATATTAATCTCTTGCAGTCTTCCCTGTGACCTGGTTGCAGCAGAGAAAAGTAAAATCCACATTGCTTAAGTGTAATTACTAAGGCCCAGCGTTGGGGCTCATATGTGCAATCCCAGCATGCGGGGAGGCTGAGGCAGGGAGACAGTAAATGTGAGACCAGCCTGGACAATTTAGCAACTTAATGATATCCCATTTAAAAAAATAATAATAATAATAATAATAGTAAGTATGAAGGTCCCGGCTCAACTTTCAGTACTGCAAAAAGAAAAAAAAAAAGTAGAAATTTTTGGAGGAAATAAAAATGAACTGCATTCCCCAGGATGACAGAAGATTTAGAGGAAGAGTGTGTCTAGAAGAAAAGGGGGAACAAGGTCATCACCACAGAACAACTAGATCTACAGAAAGCACACTGGAGGGTTCTTGTTTTGAGGTTGTGAAGCTTCTGTCCAAGTCCTTTTGCTAATATGGCATAAACCAAGAAAACAGGAACACAAGGAACACTCGGAACTAAATTTTTGTCACTTTTCCATACAGATTTAAATCTATCGTGGGCGCAAGATAATGACAAAATTTCCAGTTGGTGCCAGACTGCATGTTTTTGTTTGCTCCTGATCCCTAGGTACAGAAGCCAGGGCCAGCGGGGTACATTAAAACTGTGGCCTGTGATGCTCTGCCTCCAGGGTGTGCCCTCATTTCTAAGTTGGAATCCTGTGCGTTTTATCTTGCAGAAAACAGCAGATACTGGTTACTCTAGAAGACACACTTGTTTAAACTTTGGGGAAACCAACCAGAACCAAGAAGAATAAACTTCCAAGGTGAGCCGACAGGCCGGCTGGAAGGGCAAGGCCCGAAGCCCTCCTCCAGCCTGGTCCTCCTTACACTTAGCCTATCAATCGCAACAGGATGCACCAGGAATATCAGGCCGTTTGGACCAGTATCAGTACAAAAAGGGGACACCACTCTGTAACCTGTAACAAAACATTCACTTCAAAAACTTGACCTGATTCACAAACAATAATGCGGTGATAGAAATACATAGGAAAAACTACCACTTTTTTTTTCTTTTCTTTGTTTTTTTTTTTTTTTTTTTTTTTTTTGGCAGAACCAGGGATTGAACTCAGGCCCTTGCACTTGCCAGGGAAGTGCTTATCCCACTGAGCCATCTCCTCGGCCCTGAAAAACTCCTATTGACTATACTGTAACCTGTTTGTTTTTAAATGTCTTAGCAGAGCCTGGGAAATACATATATATTACCTAATAAATCATGTTTAAAGTCCCAATAGCACAATAACTAAATTCTAGCTTGAAAAATACTTTGCATTTATCCACAGCTCGTTCATAACCCAGAGCCTCTGCCTTTCCTTTCCGTCATGTCTCTGATGTGCCCAGCTTGACTCTGTGTAGCTAGAACTAACAAGCAATGCTTTGTAGATAAAAATCATAGCTATCATTTCCCAACTGTTGATTTTCCTAGAACCTCTGTCAGCCCTATGTAAAGTGGGTCGTCCCTCAGCGTCCTGGAGGAGGGGCTCTAGGCTGCCCTTCTGGGGAGCAGGGGTTCTGCTTCCTCTGCTATATTTCATGGCACAAGCAGCACAGCTCCGGCAACAACACCCATTCCTCTTGTGGCGGATGCTGCAGAATTACAACACTGCCTGTGCCTGTTTTTTCTTGCAGTTTCACCCACTGCATTTGATTGTCTTAAAGTGCTGTTTTAAAAGAGCCCAATATCAAGATTCTTGAAGTCCCTAATAAAACACTAACATGACAAAAAAAGGAGTTGTGCAAGTCAGGTTAGATATCAAGCTAAGATCCTCAAATTACAAAGCACACATTACCGCAACACATCAGTGGGACGGGAGCGCAGGGAGCGTGTTCTGTGCAAGATGGAAAGAGGACAGCTTTCTTCCCTCCAAGTTTGGGGTGACTCAGTAGAAGCAAATGTTTTAGTGAAACTTTTAATAATGAGGAAAACCGATTCAAATGTATGAACCTGAGCTTTATAGCACAATTTTAAAACACGGATGGCTTTTTGCTTTCTTGTCCTTCCTGTATTGACTCCATTTAGAAGCCACAGGGGTGGTGGAAGGACTGACCCAGGAGAGGGCTGGGCCTGCTTGTCACAGCTGATGGCAGAAGCTCCCAGCTGCAGCCCCAGGAGGGTTGGCCTTAGCTGCCAAAGCTGCCTTGTCCTGGTCTTTCCCGTGATGGTTCCCATCCAGCAACCGGGGGGTGGTTGGGTGGGTGTGTGCGCGCATACGCACTCACGTAGGGAGGGGATGGAGAAATAAAGAGGGCTGGGCTCGCTGACACAACTCACAACCAGGAAGGGCCTTCTTCATCCTGGTCTGGGCCCTCCTGCCAGTCCCTGGGTGTTGGCAGCAAGGCTCATCCTGTCCTCAGCCTGAGATGGCTGAGGCAGTCATCCGTATAGAGGATGGTGCGAGAGAGTGGGGACACTGTGGTGGTGCAGGGGCCTGATCAAATGCAT